GAATTCTTTTATCATAGCTGATTTTTGATTGATTAATCTAGTGTTTTACTAATCTAGGCTAGACAAAATTTTAAAAATTGAAAGTGAATGAACAAATAATTAATTGGTCCATACTTGTTTTCAATTATTTCACCCATTGTTCGAACAAGCCAATGGAAGTGATCACCAACCGATGAACGATATATCACTGTAAGTGGTAGATGGTCGATAACGTCTAGGTTGATCTGAAAGCTAATACATTCAATCCAATTCAGATCAGATTGTCACTTTACAACACACAATTATCGTTTCTTTCTCCAGTCTAGAAATATAGCTAATCCAAACGCAAATCTTAAAAATGTCTAATTTTTAAGGGCAGTGTTGAAATTAGATAGACTTTGAAACTCGAACAATTCTGGAAAAAAACATCGATAATTTTAATCATTTTTTTTAAGTAACAAGTTTTTAATATGGTGTTAGTACAATTATTTATTATTATTTTATTAGATTGTTTAATATTTTAACGAATCAAGATGATAATGATGATAGATTTATAGGTAGATAAATTAAATAGCTAATATTAGATTGTCCTTAAATGATGCCAGGTTAATTAAAAAGTATACTGTAATGATGGAAATGATTAAAAGAGTTACCGATTTATCCCATTGATGATACAAACGAAATTCTGTCAAACACTGAACAAATGATTCAGCTTCTTGCTTTGTACAAACACCAATATAGCGCCATCTAGTAAATTCATTTAATGTTGGCGGTACAACTTGTGGTCGCTTAACTTGAATATTTCTTATTGTCAACAGTGAAATATGGCAATAAATTTTGCTTAATTTTCATTATTTTTTTTTGTTTGTCAAAAAAAAATCTAATGAAAGTTTGCAATTTTTTGTAGAAGTTTTAATATTTTTGAAAATTTTGGTATTTATATATATATATATATATATGTTTTTCTTTATATATATAAAGAAAAACAAATCAATCGAATATTTTGAATACAATTAGATAATTTTGGATTATTGATTATTTGTTTGGAATTTTTTGAAGATTTATCCATTTCATTTCCATATTTCGAATGGCGATAATTTGTAGCATTAAATATATCAACGTTTCGTTCGCTTTAATGATTATTTGTTAATTGAAATTTTAAGCTATGTTTAGACAATTTAAATTGTAGCATATTTTCAATTAATTAGATTAAAATTTGCAACTTTAGAATATTTAGTTGTTTTTATGATTAAAGACGAATAATAAGTGATGAAAATTATGCGTCAGAAAAATTTATTACCATATTAGAAAATCATATATATATATATATATATATATATATAGCTTAGATTAAATGAAAAAGTTAAAAAAATGGAAATATACAAATTTTTTAATGATGAATTAAATAATTCAAATTAAGTGACCGTCTTTCATCCTTCTGCTTTCTTGCTGATTTCATTACTTTAAATTTAGCGTGTGACAACACCACACTTTTACGCTTCAAAATGACATTTTTATTTCAGCTATTGATGATTTTATGAAAATTTCAATTTTAATATGCAAATTACATCACTCTTACCAAAGTATCCATGATAATTACCAGCTGTTATTTGATTTCTATGATATATTTTTAAATATAAGGATAATAACAATGAATTGAATAATTAAAACCACAATGGAATATTACTGATTACTAATAACATAATTAAGTCAAATTAAATTAATTATCTAATGAGAAATAATGATTGCATATTTTTTCAATCAGTGAAGAATGGGGATAGTATTGCTTTATAACCAACAAACAATTAATCAATTAAGTTTATTCGATCTTTATCAGTAATGGATTAATGATTTTTGATTATGACAATAACAAAAAGGAAGTGCGACTGATAAAATTTGGAAGTAATGTTAATCCATTGTTGTTAAGCAATAACTGACAAATACGCTATTCATTTTTGAATACAAATTATTCCATAATATCCTGTCAATTTTTTTTTTTTTTTTTTAACGAAACAAAAAAATAAAATAAAATAAAAGAGGAAATCTAAATATTTTATTTTGTATTTAGTTATAGCTCACAAAAAGTATAAAACATTTCATTTTTTTTTCACTTTTTATCAAAGATTGACACCGACATTCCAATTCTTCCATAATTTTAAACTTTCTTCATGTAAATTTTATGTAAAACATATAGAAACTATTACGTTTATGAAAATGCATTCTCTCAAAGTGAGCAAATCATTTGGAATAAATCAACAAATAATTTGGAAGAAAAACTTTTTTCACATTTCACTTAATTCCTATCATTTGTCGATTATGAATTACAGGTATGTTTAGGTTTTATTAAATTGATTATTTCCAAACATTTTCTTAAGATTTTCTCGATTAATATCCATTTATTATTTGTTTACTTGTTTACTTATTTATTTTTTTTTCTTATGTGTATAAATTTAAGCATTTAAATATATTTGATTTACTTCATAATAATCTTTGATAGAGTAAAATATTTTCAGTAAATAAGTGCATAGCAAAAGTACGGAATTAAGAAAGAAAAGGAAAAAGCCTCAAATTTTCTGATCCGTTAATTGATTTTCCGGAAATTTTCTCATCAGTAAAACTTTATTTTGACAAAGCTGAAAAATTTTCTCTTCTGTTGATATCGTTTTTCTGTAATTTTATCTTCAATGAAATTTTAATGAATCTAAATCGATTGATTTATTCTATCAGTTACAAATCGTCAAAATTCTTATAAGGTAAAAAAGCAAAATTAAATCAGTTAAACTTGATATAAAGAATGTAAATTAAATTTAATTGATTAAACTGACTTTTTCCTTCTTTCAGAATAATATATATTTGTTTCTATGCAATGGTATTATTTGTTGATGAAACAGCGGAATTGTTATCACGACTGACAACAGCGGAAGTTGAAAGATTATGGATGAGATGCCGAACTGATAATATGAATGATTATCACGTGCGCAAATATATTTTTTGCTATCTAAATTTGTATTTCAAAAAATTCACTCCGATGACTATAATATTTACATTTCACGTTTAACTCATATAAATTTTGCGTGATATTTAAAAGTTCCAGCAATATGACAAATAGCTTTTTTTGCATTGTAAAAAAATATAAATTTATGATAAGTTACATATACGTACACACGTTGATATAATCTAGATCTGCATGTTCTGTACGTATAATATACGATTAATATAAACAAATTTAGCAGAAACCTTATTTTCTGTAAAGAAATTTTCTTTATTTTCTCTAAAGAAATTGTCCCCAATTACTTTCTTCAATAATCTCATAATTATATTTTACATAAATGAATATGATTTAAATAAAAAAATGATTCATACATTTAATCAAATTAATTTTACGCACCTCGACGTTTTGCTCGTGAAGCGATAACAAATAAACAAACAAGTAAGGTAATTGCGCGTTTCTTAATGGGTGGTATCAATGTAAAACAAATTGAAGCACCATTTTCGGTTCATTTACAATATTCAAAAAATGGTACAATTTACTTTTTTTTTTCCAATTAAAATTTTATGCTTAATGATCGTTTATTAAATACAAACTTGTCAAATTTTTTATTGCAATTGAATAATCTATTAGTAACAATATTATTTTATATTCAGTGAGTTTAAACACTAACCTTTCCTCTAAAACGAAATTGAAATAACGAATTTTAAGGTATGCAATTAGGCTGTTCCGGCACAATGATATCAGATAGACATGTGTTAACAGCTGCCCATTGTTTTATTCAAAAAGATTGTGAGCAGTAAGTAACTATTCCTGTATTTTTTCAAATCTTTTTTTAAAAAAAAATTTGCTATTTTTTTTTTTTTTTTTTTTGTATAATTTGCTTTTTTTTGAAATTTTATGCAGTTGAAATTGTTAGCTTTTCTTTTTAAAGATTGTAAGCTCAAGTAATCAGCAAAAAATTATCAATGATTTACATGAAGCGACAAATTTGTTGGTAATATTGAAATAAATGATTTATTAATGAGATTTTTAAAAAGTTGTAACAGAAAGTTTCAAATAATTTCCAGAAGAACTGTAACCCAAATATTGAACAGTAAAAAATGGAAAGTGTATTATGGTGGCGGTTGTTTACCATTTTCCAAAGATGTTTGTTCAGATTTTCAACAAATGGCACGATCAGTAAATATCAAAAATGTAATTTGTTTTTCGCAAAATAAAAATCTTTATTTTATCAAAGATTACGTCGAAATTTGTATTATTTTTTCAATACTTGAAGTTATCTAACATCTAATTGAGACTTTTTAAGTTTGTTTGATTTTTCAATTTATTCTTTGGAAGCCATTTAATATTTGTCTTATTTTACGAAATTTCGAAGTAAAGTTTTCGTCTAGTGTTTTCACAAATACATCATCAGAATTAATTCTGCATCATTCAATAATTATAAATAAGTATTTGTCTCCGACATTTCTATCTGATCTAGTAGATAGATAATGATAACGATAAATAATTGTAATATGCCTGAAAAGTAAGTCTTGTGATATATGTGTACCTAGAAACGTGATATTGCTGCAGATAGCAATTCCGGCTGATTATCTCACGGGTCCTTGCTTACACAATGATATTGCTATCGTTACTGTTAAATTAAAAATGGTTAGATTTTGTTTTAGTTTATTTTTTGTAAAGTTAGTTAGATTTTTTTAAAATTTCCTTTTGAAAATTATTATAAAATTTTCGGCACCACTGGATGATGTTGCATGCATTACACAACCGCATGATTTTATTCCGAATACTTTCACTTTGTATGCCAGAGGTTCTGATCGTAAGTTTTATTTGTCATAATTAGCAAATTTTCACAAATGAATGGTTATCTTCAAGTGAGCAAGTAATTTTTTCATGAAGTCAAAAGTACTTTACAAATTTGTATGTTTAAGTCTTGAAGTACAGAAAATTTAATTAGTTGCAAAAATGAACTATTACTTCTAGCCATCAGATGTTTTTCTTTTTTTTCCTTTTTTTTTTAGCAACTCGAATGAAAAAAACAACAGCATTAGCAACAATAAATGTCACACGTATCGACTGTGTACTGGAAGACCAAGTTCCGGATCGAATAGATGACCAATTATGCACATCCGAATTACAAGAAACAAATATGTGTTCGGTAAGGAGGAATATATTTCGTAATTCTCAAAATTTTAAAATTTGAAGTTCGAATAAAATTGTTCAAGAGTTAAAAATTTTACAACTTAAAGTAAATTCTTCTTCAAACAGGGTGATAGTGGTGCTGGATTAATGTTCAAGACTAAAAGTGGCACATGGAATATTGCTGGAATTGCTTCTGCTGGGACAGATTGTCGAATTATTAATATAGCAATTAACACGAAAGATGGTATTTTAAATTCCAGTATATTTTCAGAAAAGTCCAAATAAATTTCACTTATATGATACTTACATGATATAAATTAATAACTTTTGGAAGAATTAATACGTAGTTAATTTCTTCTTAATTTTCTATTAGGCATTCTTTTTTTAAGATAGCAAAGTGACTTTCTCATTCATTTTATTATATTTTTTAAGAAAAAAAAAACTTTGAAATCTTTTTATCATTTGATACTTAATCTTCACTATCCTTATTATATTTATTTATTATTTCATTATTAATTCGCATTATTATTTCTTATTATTAATTGCTTCAATAAGTTGTAGTAATTCAAAACAAAGTATGCAAAGACTTACTTAGAAATTTCAAAATTTATGTATCTATCAATCAAATTACAGCGACTGATGAACCAATCGTCGACATTAGTTTAGACGGAAGCGTTTTCATCGATGTGCGAGCACATAATCAATTTATTTGTCAGTATGCTGGGATATGTTTTGACGAATCTGAAAATCAGCCAAAAATTAAAGCTATATTACTTTGAAATTGAATAAAGAAGTGGTACATGCATAAATAGTGCAATAAATCATTCTGAAGCAAATAATACTTACATTCAGGAATATACTGAAGACTTTTTCAAAAAGCCAGGGAAGTATTGGGACTTTTGCACGAAATGGACGGAGATATAAGATTGTATGTGTTGGAAAATAAAGAATCGACCGAAACTTTATTTTGAAAAAAACTGAAATTTTGTCACACTCAAAGGAATAGTATTATTACAAAGAAGGAGAAATAAAAGGTGGAAAAGAGAAAGAGATAATGACCTTTGACACAATCGTGCATTCTTTGGTCCTTAGACTAATGTAGTCACTTTCCTTTCCTTTTCTTGCACCTCATTTTTACTCTCATTGACTTTTACCGAGTAATTTCGTATTACAAATCTCTTTGGATGTCTCAAAAAAAATTTTATTAAATATATTTGTTGTGAATGTAAGTGCTGTATATTTGAGTATGAGCAAGAAAATGCTGCAAATGTAAATGTTATCAGTAAAAAAAGATTATAAGTATAAAGGCATTAAATTTTTTTTAGTTTTGTATAAGGAAATCTGCAATTTTTCACTGGAATGTCTTCAAGAATTTTTGGAAAGATAGAGAAAATCATTTATCATTTATTTTTTTTTTCAAGGTAAAAAAGGATTAAAACTGTTATGTCTACTAAACAAATCTCATGCAAGATTTAAATAAATAATACTAACACTTAGAATTTTACATTTTCGACTGCTTGGATTTTGAAAATAAAATCTAATCACTATGCACAATATTTCAAAAGGAAATTACAGCATTCTATCATTAGAGAAATATATATATAGTAGAAAGTGATTAGCATTTTACCAGGAGAAAACGATGAATAAACAATCAGATGGATACTTAATTTTATATCTCAAATTTATTCAGCAGCACTCATTGCAATGTCGCAATACTGTAAAGGCTTCTACTTTTATAGCAGTTGACTTAGTGTTAAAGGTCTACTTCTACTGCACAAAGAGCAAAGATCATCCGAAATTGACAATCCTTCAGTCGCTATTATCATGCGCTTTGTTGCAACTTATGAGGAATTAAAATCTTTGTCTAAATCAACTTTGCATGTAGTGTTCCGAATCATAATTTCGCGAAACTCTAACTAAAATAACAAAGTTAATTTAAAGAAAAACCAATAAATCATCTTTTAAATTATAAACAAGCTCATGGTGTCATAAATCATCTCGCCATAAATTTAACTCCTTAAGATTTATTACTCATGTGATTTTGTTTTTTTTTTAAAATTAACTCCCATTCCTCACATATACTTATCACATGTATGCTTAATCTGTTATCTATACGATCTTATTGTAAATACCTCAGATTCTTGTCTCAAATGGTCTTATCATAGATACGCCCAATTCTTACACATATAAATACAATAAGATGGTTATAGTCGACTATAACCGTCATAACCAATCTCAATTTCCTCCAATTTTTAAATCCATTTTTACTGCTCAGATTATTGATAATACGTTTTATAAAAATAAACTTAGATAATTTCTCTGCTGTGTTATGAACGATATCGTATTTAACGTTTACCCTCTGTAGTAAAAAACGATACATTTAAATTGCTTTCAAATTCTGATACTTTTGACAGATGTCTGATAAGTCACTGCCCAAATTATTTCGCATTTGTAACTAATCTATGTCTAGATCATTTAAGCCATTATGCTAATTCCTTTTTTTCACACAATAAAAAACAATAAAAAACCCTTTGTTAGCAAAAACCCTTCATTAGCAAAAACCCTTTGTTAACAAACCCCTTTTTAGCAAAACCCTTTATTAGCTATCTTTGTTTCAGATCAGTTAAATATCCTCTGCCGGTTATCTGGTCAGTTCAGTTCTGTGTATAAACCAACCATCCTCCATTACAGTTATTCATTCTACATTTTGGGGTAGTTTTTGATATCATTTTAATGTTTTATAATTATATTATATATTTGTCGTGGAATGTATCCACGACAAAGTTTTTGGTGCACGAGGTGAAGTATGTCTGCCAGCATAATTGTAAGAGCGAAATCGGTAAAAGCAAGTCTCGAGGAATTTCTCGATGAAATATGACAAATAGATCTATCTCCGTTAGACTAAAAAGCGACAATAGAAGTATTGTGCCAGCAATATGAAACAAGGGCAAGAATCATCAAGGAAAAATTGATGCGCCTCGAAAAATATGTTGGCACTCTTGAAAAAATCAGCAACAAATTGTTGGAATACATTCAACAAACCCTAATGTCGCAAAGGAAGAAAGAAGAAGACAAATATGAAGGAATGGCAACTGATGATAGAAGTATTTTAAATTTAATTAACAAATAATAATTATAACCTTATCAATATATAAGGACGATACCGAGTTAGCTCTTAAACGTTTAACACGAAATAGGGAACACAGTCTAACTGAATGTCGTCCAGTAGTAAATTTGCCTCAACTATCGTTACCAACGTTCAATGGTGATCTTAAAACATGAAGAGAGTTTTGGAGTACCGGACATACAAAAGTTAAATTATTTAGCTGCTTGTCCAAGAAAAAGCGCCCTACAGCTAGTGAAACTATGATAGGGGACCTGAAAATTATGAAATTATAAGAGAATTACTAGTGGAAAAATTTGGTCGTGTTTCCACCATAAGAAAATTACTGTACAATGAGCTCATATCTATAAAACGAAACGATCGAAATTGAAAAACAATAGTCGAAGAATTGGAAAGAGTGTTAAGGCAGTTAGGAGCAATTGGCGAAAACGTTGAGCAACCTACCATTGAAACTATAATAAAATCCAAATTACCAAATTGGATACTGAACCAAGTTTGAGGTAAAATAAAATATCTGGCAGTCAATACATTCCACAACACCATCTTTAACGCTCCGAGCGGAACACCACAATTAACGTAAATCCATTTAACTTTTATATCTCACAAACCAAAGACAACCTTTCGTTACAAAAATTTTTGGTGCCACAAGCAGGGAATCATGTCTAACAACATTATTGCAAGCAACCAACCGGCAAAAGAAAGGTTAGTTTACCCTCTTAAAGAAATAAATTCAGTGGAAATTAAATCTCCTGAGTTGAGTATAACACTAGAAGAAAAGGAAGAATTCTAATAAGACAAAGATTACTCAAGGATAAACTCCAAAGAATTTCAATTATGCGTCACTACGCTCGAATCTATCAATGATAAATGGTTTACATATACTCAACAAATCGTCACAATGAAAAGAAGAGAAGAGGAAGAAGAAAAATATAAAGTAGCAACAGAAGGCGACCAAGGAATATTCAAATTATGAAGGAAAGAAAGCGATAATAACGTTAACAATGCATAAGGATGAAGCGACCAAAATTTAACGCGACTCTCAAAAGAGTTGAGGAATAAACAGGCGAAAGAAGAGATAAAAATTACCCCTTCTTCGAATATTAATGTGAATTTTCCTCATTTGTCGCTACCTACTTTCGATGGAGACCCTAGACAATGGCTATAATTTTGGAACAGTTTTAACCCAGTAGTCCAAACACAAACAATTTCAGAAATACATATGACATAGCACCGGAGAATTATAAAGGTACAAGAAGACTCAATGAAAAATATGGCGATCACTCAATGGTAACGACATTACTATATAATGAACTCCAATCAATTAAAAGAAATGAACGAGAATGAATTGGAACTATTGAAAACATAGAAAGAGTGTTACGCCAGTTAGAAGCTTTAAGGGAAAGCTTAGAACATTCAAATATCGAATTTTGATCGAAAATAAATTACCATCATGGATATTAAATAAAATATATAAGCGAAAGAAAAAGGATATGCTTTGGTCAATTCTCAAATTAAGAAACTTTTCGACAAACTTAGTTAATGTGAATGATCAAATTAGAAACTACCAACATTCACTCACTCAAATCAATATTAAACCTACAACTACTAAATCTGAGCAAAAACAACGATATAATCCCGGAGGAACTTCAGTACTGTCGACAATAAAAAATAGTCAAAATCTCTCGAAAATTACAATAAAGAAAAGAAGACCATGCGTATTCTACACTCGAAATCATTGGGACAGTAGTTGTGTGACCTACTACTCTCAGCGCTCGGCTGAATCCTTTCAAGGTACTAAAGAAATGTACTGTCTGTCTTAAAGACATTCACAAAGGAGAAATTTCTAAAGTCAAAAAACAATGCTTTTATTGTAGAGCCTTACATAATAGCGCTTTATGTGATAAAAGGCATTCACCTTCTTTAAACAATGTAATGTATCAAAGAAATGAAGAACAAGAAAAAATCGTATCTTCGAAGGAAAAGAATTGTTCAACTTCTCTTTACAACTCGATCTAAAGAAACAAAAGAAACTTTACTTTTATATAAAGAGATAAAAGTCTTCAATCCATTACAACCTCAAATACAACAAAATGCCTTGGCATTGTTCACCTCTCCTTCATTTCCAAAAAATTATCACATCAATTAAGATTAACCGAAACAGAAACTCAAATTATGAAAATAGCTCCATTAGATATGAAGGAACCGAAATCATGTCCACTGCTCACATAAAATTAAACGTGCTAACTATAGGGAACGAAATCATATCATTACAGGCAAATATAATTGATTTAACAAACGAATTGCAAGTAGTAGAGACATCAAGTGAACTTCAAATTCAAATTTAACATATTATTGGAAAAAACCTGAGTATTGATTGGGACTGATTATTTCTTCAAATTTATTAATCTACGATAAATCAAGGAATTAAAGTCAGGGCATATGTTAGTTCAATCGAAAATTGATCTCATGATTGCTGGAAGTGGAGATGTTAAAAAACTTTGTAAGGACGAATTTTATCCTAAGAAGGTAGTATATTCTGCAAATGCCAATATTAATTCAGAATTAGAAAATTTTTGGAAGTTGGAAACGATTGGTATTCAAGAATCACCTCAAGCTGACAATGATGATCAAGCCTTAAAGTATTCCAAACGAACCATCATCAAGCAGGGTGGAAGATATCAAGTATGTTGGCCATGGAAAGACTCTAAAAAAAAATTAAGTAATAATTATGGATTAAGCTTGGGACGATTGAAGAATTTAATCAATCATCTACAACATAATTCAATTCTCCATTTATACCATCAAATACTTATGAATCCTTTTATTCGCGTATAATTGAAAAAGTGCCTTCAAAGGATGATGTAGGTGTTATTCACTACTTACTCATAAAGTATTAACTCCTAGTAAAACGACAACAAAATTAAAAATAGTATTTGATGCCTCTGCACATCACAAAGGTTTTAAGAGCTTAAATGAAGTATTATATTGAGGTCAGTGATGTTACCAGATTTAGTTGGCGTGGTATTACATTTCCGGATGATGAAAATAACTGCTGGTATTGAAAAAGCATTTTTACAATTAGAACTACAAAATGAGGAAAGAAATTGTACACGTTTTCTTTGGTTAGATGATATAGATAAAGGACTAAACGATGAAAATATAAAGTGTTACCGCTTTAAGAGAGTTCCTTTTGGAGTAATATCTTCACCTTTCTTATTAGCAGCAGCATTAAATTGCCACCTACCTATATAATGAATTTAGTTCATAACATTGTATTAGTTATAAGAGTGACTGTGAGCAGATTAAAACATCTGCTATAAGTAGGACTCGTTTATAACAAACAAAGCTAATTGAACGAAGGGTTTACAATCGTTTAACATTGATTGGGGGGTAGTTTACAAATTAAGCACTTGTAGATGCTTTAAAATGCACATAATGATGGTAATTGTTGGTTGAATGATTCCTTAAAAATTCTCAGTGAGGTAGTCGTTGGTCTTAGGCAAATAAAACAAACTTTGGTCTTCAAATTCCTCCATCTCCTAGATTTGATGGAAAATTATTCTGGTCATTTTGACTCAAAATTTTTCGATGTTTCCGATAATTATGAAAGATCGCAGTATTTGGGTGGTATGAAGTCGGTGAGTGTTGTGTTGCACTGATTTGGGGCGCTGTAAGTCTTCGTGTCGGTTATGAAAACTGCTTGAAAGTGAGTAAAGCAATTAATTCAAAATGATTAAAGATGGAAATAAAGCTATTGGATGTTATAAAGTGTGGACCAATATCTTAGAGAAGGAATTAATCTGTTGAAGGAAAATAGGTGTGATGTAAACAAAGGTAAATAAAGGTGTTTGTTTCGGGACAAGTAAGTACATAGATTTGCGGTTGGACAATATGCAAGGAATTATTCCGAACACATTGATATGAAATGTGAAAATGGTTCTGCCGCTAACCATATGATCAATTGGGAATCACTCTTTCCAATTCAAGTACTAAGTTCAACCCATCAGATCAAGTCATTATGAAAAACCAAATGGAGGCGGGAAGCACGGGCAACAAATAAAGCTGAGTTTTGGTGTCCACCGCGTATGGCCAAATACTGATGTCAAAACATAGCTTTTATTCATTTTATTCTCTTCATAATTTCATACTTTTATTCTATGCAATTGAAGATGACCTTGCAGTAAAACTATTTTATTATTATATAACCCACTTTCTGCAGTAGTTATCGTAATTTCAAGAAATGAAAAAATAAGAATAATGTAATAGGTAATTCATCATTTCTCAAGCAAATCAAACATAATAATGTAAAGGATTTCGGCAATTGATATTTCGACTACTAAAATGAAGTTACGTTGTTCAATGAGCAAATGAATTTATCCAAACAGATGTTTGGATAAATTGAACTGAAATTTCGAGAAGTGTTTTGATTAAAAAAAAAGATGAAAATGGCAATATTTTCTAAATATACATTCACTTTTTCAAATATTAGCTACGATGAAATTTATGCATCGGAAAATGTTTCTATTGGAAATACTTTTGCTTATAGCAAATATGTGCTATCAATTGAATTTAATAAGAGATGACATTTTTAATTTCTCTAAAATCTCTTGGCGACAGTTTTCAGATCTACTCGCTCTTCTCCTTTCAATACGTTCAATGTTAAGACGCACATTTCATACTGCCAAGTGATCCTTCTAATTTTCAACCATTCTTTCCTTTGGGTGTCTCAAAAATTGTCTGAAAAAAAAAAAAAAAACAAATCAAGCTTTAAAAATTCATTATGAATACATTTCATATACCCATAACAATGCTTATAAGTTTAACCACCTTTCTTTGAATAATTCTTTCTAGCATTAAATGATAAAATGCATCAAAATACATACAAAATAGTGGTTAGCTGCTTCACTGCCCGTTAATTCGATAGCCTTCTGACAATTTTCTTGGGTAGTTTTCCTGACGTGTTTTTCTGTCCAAACTATAGCAATTGGTAAAGTTAATGCATATAACGGAGTTAATTGCACACCTGAATTTCAATGAAATAAGCATAAACATTCTTAAAGTCACACTAAAATTGGTAAATAAGTTTGCAGCATCACTTCCGTAAACTGTGCAATTTATACGACAGTAATATTTAGAAAATAGAAACATCGATAATTCAGAATGCAATATAAAACTTAAAATTTCAATGAGTGTAATAAATAGTCAAATTATTGTTGAATCTTTTTGCAACTACTCATTCTTCCCATAATTTACAAATAATTTTATGGCTTATAGCTGATTAATTTTATATTCATTAATTATGTTTAATTGCTAAAAATTTTCCAAATAGTTTCTTATACTTATTTTGGCTTTTATATTGGCCACATTTTATAGATTCCAAGCAATTTTTTCACTGTCTCCGTATTGCTTGAAATAAGAACAATTGGAGCAAATTTTCGCTTTACTATTATTAATTGATCTTTTTTTTAAATTCTAAATCTGTTTAAATTCGGCTCATTCATATTTGTTCACGATTACTTATTTACACATTTTCTGTAAATTAGAAAAGTGAATTAGATAAAAACTATAAGACAAGAAACGAACTTTCGAGATAAATAGCAAACTGTTTTGGTGAAAATTTGAAATCGATAGCAAAGTACATAAACAGTGCGCCCAAATAAAGTGCCAAGAATAAGGAATGAAATGCAACTATTGGTGATAATGTTTGAAGAGAACTTATATTTTCCGTGATTTGATAACGATGTGATAAGTTGACGTGAATTTTGTTTCGGTGAAATCTCTGAATAAATGCAAGTGGTGAAAGAGTCAAACCAAGAAGTAACAAAAAGTTTGTGTTTACTTCTCCACAGGTAGTGACTTCATTCATTCATGTAAACAGAAAAATTATTTTAGTGATGCGATCGAAGAGGAGAAATTTGACATATTAGGAGTGTAAGGTCAATAGGTCAAAAAAGTAGCCAATTCCAATTTAATCTTGATGGTCCCATGTTTCATTCAAATACCGCTCATATGACTAACTTATTTACGCGAATATCTTTAATAGATTAAACATGTAGTTGTGCGTCACTTACCGCCGCCAATTTCTTGAAGAAAATTTAGATCAAAGTAACATTTACATCAATTTACTCATTAGATAACTTGTTGGTGAATGTTTTTGTAAGTAATAAATCAAAATTGCCTTATTAATGCAAAATAAAACTGGGAATGTTAAAGCAGAGATAGAATCGATGGTCGCATAAAAGCCTAGGACAGCAGCAGATTTTAGTGCGTTTTCTTTATTCGCCGTCGAACAATAAACCACTTTCTCTGAATCGAACAATTTGAAATTACTACTCATAAATAGGAAACTGCCGATACCAATGGTTAACTGAAAAATATTGAAATTGCGGAACAGTTTTCAGATATTAATATTGCAGGTTACTACTACTATTCCATGTTCTATGTTAAACTATTTTAAAGTATCATTTGGTTATCCTTAGAAAAACGGCAATTTCCCTGCATCAGTTATTCAGCCAAGTTGTTAGAGGCATTTTACACACATATAATAGAGTCAAAATTTAAATTACACATTGTTCTTTTTCGTTTCTTTTGAATGTTATCAAAGCATTAAATCACCAAACTAAATCACTAATTAAATCATTGAAAACAGATTTAAATTTCCCTCTGTACCTGCATTACGATGAGTATAACAGCGATACTTTTCCCAAAATTTTCGTATCTCGATGAGAAATACGTAGCGATAGCCCGCTCAATGACTACTGTCGGTATCGAAGCCGCATTTAAAAATAATGTCAAAGATATCGGTGTTCGCATCATGAAACATTCCCATAGAAATGTCATATACCCACACGGATCAACACGTGTCTTGTGATATGCCAGCAGTACATAGGTGTGGGCAAATATTCTATGAAATAATAAATTTACCAGCAATATACATCAACGATCGATATTGTTCTTTGCTTCACTATGAATGGCTTTTCAAAGTTAGTGAATTTGGCTTCCGAAACATTCGCTCATTGTCACTATATGATCAATCAGCAATCGATTAACTAATCAGTCTCTTTGCACATTTTTTGCATTAATCCACTGTTTATTTATAGTTTTTATTTGATGAAATACCCAATTGATTGTCTTTCCTATTTTTCGCCGATGTTTTGCTTTCTTATTTGTATTTTAATTACTTTTTTGTGCATAATTCTTGAAGCAATTTAAGAAAACTCTCTAATTAGATTGAAAGAGTGTAATATTATTGCAATACCCTTCATTGACCGTTGCAGAATTTTTCGGTTACAGAAAATAAAAATTCTTTAAAAGTGAAATAAAAAAATGAACCTTGCGATACAATGAAGAATAAGCCACAACTGATGTACTATAATCAAAATTCGAGTATTTTGATGTAGTCATCAAGAATGCCCTCTTTTCTGCATGTGAGTGGAATCGCCCATGACCAAACTTGGATAGGAATTTATTGTTAAATTAAAATAAATGATATAAATAAAAATACTAATAATATATCATATATGTGGTTGTTATGTACTGAACAAGATTTGTTTTGAAACACAATGAATGCATTAGATTTGCGGATGGACAATATGCACAAAGTTACTGCGAAGAAATTAATATGAAAATATGAAATGAGAAAATAGCTGTGCTGCTAACAGCATGATCAATGGAAAACCAGTTTTCTCAATTCCATTCAACTCAGTTGTTTTCGCTAAATTTAAAGTTCAACCGATTAAATCAATTCACTATGAAAGCCAAATCCATAATTCAACATGTTAAATTACCAAATAAAAAACTCAAGAAAACCGGTATCAAAAAATTGGTCAGCCATGCGAATATATGCGTACGGTAACAATTAGGATCAAATTTTAGAGATCATTAATGCCAGATTGTTGTTGTAAAAATGAACGAATACAGTGCATCAGTTCACGTTTCACTTCATCTGGTACTGCTCGTCTGGCTCGAACTCGTACATCGCTCAGCACATCTTCCAGCGTTATTTGTTCGATACCCTGCAATGAAAGTGAAGGAAAATGGGAAAATAAAACATGGTAGATCATATGAAATTAAAATATTTTGCTGGTTGAATGTTCTGCAAGAAATTCTAAAAACTAAAAGAACGTTGAGAATTATGTAAATTCCGAAAAGAAGAATAACAAGATGATATTAATATTAAAATTGATAATAATAATATACTAATATTAAATAAAAAAAATTTTAATAAATATAATATTGCTACTAAAATTTTGGACAGTCTCAAGGTTGGAAAAATATATTAAAATACATGTCATTTATTCGCCCCTGTCCAATAAAAGTTACTCATCCTGCTCAGTGAGTTTTTATAAAGTAGGTAAAAATGGATAATCATTACTTTTATACCTTTCATTTATTTCTTCAGTCATACATTTCAGTAGCTTTACAATAGCAATTCATTTATACAACTGGTTTTATCGGTAAGGTTTAATGTTGCAGGGAATAACGTCCAAAAGGTTATACAACAGTGACATCGCTGACTATTTTTGGGAAGGTATATAGGATGGAAAACTTATACAAATGCAATTTAGTAAAAAAATTTCTTACTGCTTACCTTATTTTGTATATAATTCCGACACATATTCTCCACTTCTTCCACCCAACCACTTTCTCGCAACCTTTGCAACAACAATTCTTTCATTCGGTCGCGTTCGCCACATTCAATAAATTTACGTTCCAAAGCTGCTTTACTTACTGATGGCGCACTCATTCCTACCGATAATACGAATCAAATTCAATGGCCATATAATATAATCATCCGTGTAAGAAATAAACAAAATATAAGACAAATCAACTCTTTGATGTTAATTAATTCCAACTCAATACCTAAATTACCAGTAAACCAATCAGCTTATCTTCTTTTCCCTTCTTGGAAGTGCAAATCTCATTACACGAAGGATACAAATCACCGCCTGGAGTCCACTTTACCCATTGCATACCATTTCAATACCATATGCTCAAATTCAAGGCAGAATTACAATAAGAAGGCACTGTCCCGACCCAGCATTAACCCTCGCCAAAACACATAAAATAGGTATAGTAAAATGTTCACAACTACTCTGCTCATTTCCAAATCACATCGCCCAAATTAATATCGACCCCTCTCAAATCAAAATCGTGTGGTTTCCTTAATGACAGTATATCTTCAAGCACTATTTTCCAGATAAAAATGTGATAAGTAACACCAACAACATCAACCAAAACTTTCACTCCACAACGATCCTTTTCTAAAATCTTTATTTCAGAAGGCACTTATTCAAAAATGAAAATGTGTCACTTAAAACATACTGCCAAACAGTTATTAAAAGAGAAATATGAAAAGGAATATTTTAAACATAGCATCGAATCGAAAGTGTAATAGAAGATAATACAGGCAAACAACTGAAATTGACATTTATGTATTTTGCTTTATAACAATACGTACTACACGTCCACCTTACATGTATACACGCTGTTGTGGAATTCAGTTGAAAATTTTTTACACATAACAGCTTTTGTAAACACCATATAATTTACCCGCATAAACTTTATGCAACATAGCCATATGTGACATCCAAATACGTGTAACCTTCATATACAGGATTTACAAAGAAAGCTAGTTTGGTATAATTAAGTTATAAAAATATTCACTCAGGGAGTCACAAATGGCACAAAAGAAAAGAAAATTTTTTTTCAAAACATTATATAATACATATATGTGCGAACACTAAACTGTACAAATCTGATATACAATGACCAACATAATTTTATAAGTAAACCAATGAAAGGAAAGGCAGTGAGAATTACTAATCTGCACTAGCACTCACAAAGCACAGTGCTTCAGCAGACTAACTTGGAAACATTTCGGAGAATAAGAAACCATTTTATACTTTTATATCTAAAACTACTGGAAAAGTAATAGAAAACAATAAAAACTCCTACATCTGTTTTTTTTTTTTTCCATTGCATTACATTACCTATCACCTGTGGGGAAGCCATGATTATAAGTTCAGAAATGACTTAAACTATAACCCGTTAAGTACAGAAAATTATTTTTTTTTTTTTGCAATTACTGGATTTTACAGGTTTTCAAATCAACGAGAAGCAATGATAAAAATCTTTCAAAACAATAGCAAAACAACTGCTATATTCATAGCATGAAAAGCCTCCCCAATAAGCATAAACATAGTTCCAAGGGAAACTGCCACACATAAACAGATATGGAATATCTTCACAGGAAGAAAGTAGTAGCAGTTTCATACCTCTCAATTAAATAAAGTTAATTTCTTGATGGATGTTAGTATACTGATTACTGGTACATAACAACTACTTCATATATCAGTTACATTCGGATGCAGATTAGAAATCAAACTGCCATATTATTAAACTTGGCATCGGAAAAAGCAAATCGTGATTTAAAAAGTTGGTAAACATAACGGGAGAAACAAAATGTTTCTACTGACCTTCGATCTTTTCTATAAAAAATTCACTACAGATTGTTCGTACTGATAGAATTTACTTTACAAGGAAAAAAAAAAACATGAACCCTCAGAAAATTTAATCATGATTCCTGTGCAAAACTTGATTTAAAACACCACAAAAGACTGAACTAGAGAAAATAAAAAGATTTGTACCCATATTTACTGAGCAAAGGATATACAGAACGTTTGAATGTTATGCATCTTCTGCTGGTGCAACATAAGCAAGTGGGAAGTAGCCCACCTGAAAAGGCTTTATAAACCTTTAAACAAAGCACTTATTTTTCTGTCAAATGAAATCATTCTACAATTAAAATAAAATACAAATCAACTGACACTATGCTTAAAAAAAAATAACCGTTTCTGCTACTATCAATAATAAAGACTAAAAACCTTTATATTCAAAAGTGAAAACTGAATGAAAATTTCTTGTCGTTTAATTCACATACAACTAATTCCATTCAGTTGTATGTAACATTAAATGTGATTTTACATTGCTCAATCTACTAGGAAATCGTTTAAATGACTTACTCTATTGCCGCTTCGGCCTTTCCACCATCCTCGATCCTCACCAGTCCTACTAATCACGTAGACTTTCTGACCAACCACTAAAGTGAGAAAATTTGGCTCTGATGCTTCAAAATTATGCAGGGCGATATATGGCTGTTTATCGGTATATGAATGTCGTAAAGTAGTATTTAAAGTTTCGAATGACTCTCGTAAATTATTTTCTCTATAGTAGTTGATCAATTCCTGAAATTCAGACATTGGAATCTCTGTCATTTATCCAATGTATTAGTAACTACTAATATTACTATCCTATTATTATTAATCTCATTCTGCTGTTGCTACTGTCCCGTTCATATGTTTGTCATCTATCAATAACTTGAAGAAGCAATGTTAACAATTTAAGTAGTATCTGCTGTTTCAAAAAAAATTGCTAATGTCTAACCACGACGCTTGAAAACATTGTACTTTCGTCCAGGTAATAACGTCCTTCTGGAGACTGTTCTACCTTTGTGTGCTTCACATCACCATTGAAACTAAACTTTACTTTCAAAGATAAATGAAGTAAGAACGAAATGCAGAACATTTAATTCATATTTCCATTCTACCACAAAATATATTTCAGATCCTTAGAAAAAAGACAACATCTCTTAAGACATGTACATGAGATTTAGATTCAGAAATGATATAAACACAATAAATAATATAGGTAAAAGGAAGGTAAAGACCTGAATTACAGATCATTTAGTCTTGGTTAGTTAAATGGAAGCTTCAATCTTAAGTGGTACATAAAACCGTACAACTCCAAAAAGTGATCTAACCATAACAGGCCATACGTCTTTTTGAATCTACGACCACAAACTCGACTCTGAGGAATACACTATAAAAATATAAAGCTGGAAAAATCTTGACCAGTGACAGTTTTATATTCCCATCCGACATATAAAGAAATTATGGTTGATAGACTGATCTACCAGAACAATGAAAATTGCTTTATTTGGCAAAAGTTCCTTTATCTTCAAATACGAAAATAATTCATTTCGAGAAAATTCAGCTGTCAAAAGAAGAAAATAATAATTAAAAAAAAAAAACAGTACCTTATGCTGATCACATATTTTTGTTGTGCAGAACTGAATCGTACTAAAAAAGTACCATCTGGTGTACCACGCAAAAGTTCCTCCGAATCCCATCGCTTCATCGGTCCTCGATACCACTGCTGGCCTACTACTTCCGTATTCACATAATCCTGGCTCTGTGATTTCTGAGGCAAAAACCTACAAAAAATAAATTACTTATATTTCTGTCCTTATGTCCTCTACTTTTTAACACTATGTTTGGAAGAAAAAAACTCACTACTTTAAAATATTGTAAATTCACTCTACAAAGAAATGCTCAGAAGGACAAGATATTAATTTACATATTTTCGATCGAGGAAGAGGACTTGCGTTGTTCATTTGTAAGAGGCAGTTGTAACTGAGGCGAACTAATAATCCAAGAGTCACAATGTTCTACCGGTGATGACAGTGTAACGCTAGTTAATGAACTACCTGTCGATGAACCCATATGCAGTGACGATGCCGATATCTATAAATAAATTAATATTTAGTCCAACTGATCATCACAGAAAAAAAATTGATTGTTCTGTCGCATCCACATACAGAAGTAAAGAAATAGTGATTCAAATGAATGTAGGATCAACTAAGAATCCTGAATTGCTTCTTTAAATTGGACATCAAATCACCCGAAATCGTCGGACAATTTCTGGTTGAATAAGTCCAGCTCGATTAGGAAAAGCAACAATTCGTCCCTGTAATAATTTAGTGAAAAAAGTAAAAAACCATTTCTCGAATCTTTCATTGAATAATTGAAATTCCTTCGAAACAGTAACCTTCTCGAAAACCAGCTTGAAAGAAATAAAATAAACATGATATCACAGAAATGCTGTGAAAGTGCAAGAAAAATTTTTGGTGTTCCATAGAAGAAACAGAAAGTCATTTCTCAAATCTCTCACTGAATAAATGAATTTTCTGCTGTTAACTTCTTTTCCGGTCTGGAAGCCAGTTAATTCCATGACTTGTCAACTGTGCATGATCAGATGGTTCAGATTTATTAGAAAAAAGCGTTATATAACACAGAAGTTAAGAAAAATTTTTCAATTTATGATGCTAGCTATTTTATTCATTTCGATATATTATAAAATATCGGAATGAAAATTGAGAATTCAGATTCTTTGCTTGTACAAAACCTTGTTGCATGATTTCTTTTTCACTATTAAATCTGTCCATTTTTCACTTGCAAAAACAATAGTGACAGCAAAAGAAATATACTGAAACGAAGAATAGTAATTGTTTTTTTTTTTTTTTCCACAGCTAAGAGTAAAAAAAGCTATACTCAACCAAAACTTTATAAAATCCTTACCATCACTGTACCATCAACATTTCGTTGAGTGATTTCTATCAAATCATTCATTTCAAATGATAGAAACAGTGGATCGTTTGAATGAAATGACTGTACTGCGCGAACACATTCATGAGGTTGCACTAAACACTTAATGTAGGAATCTATTCCACAAAATGATTATATTTAGTGGTAAGCAGAAAAGATTAACGAAATGATAAAAACTGAGGTTTATCATGGTTAATCCAACCGAGTAATAAACAAATTTCAAAAGTAAATAATACTGACAGGAAGCAGCATGTTTCCGCCTATTTGAAACTTGAGTTCTTGTTATAGGACCAACTCCTGGACATTTACTCATCGACAAGCATGCACGATGCAAATTTCGCTTGCAATCTGCAGAATGATAAAACGGACTAATTCGCAATAATGCCAATACTGAAATCCTGACACGTTATGAACAAAATTTGTCTAACTAAATGTCATCCCAGTCAGTTAATTTACTAACCGGAACAATGGTATCCCTGATAGAAGAGACCAGCAAGAAGCTTTTCACAGTGAAAACAGACAGTAGCTTTATCGTAGCTATGATACTGCAAACAGTGACCTGATGTTTCCGAATCTTTAGGCCTTACATTGCTTCTATAAAGAATCTCCAATAATTTTTAGTGCGACTTCAAATATTAGTTTCGTAATTTTTTTGTAATTTAATATTCAGAATGATTATAAACAAGTACGCTTACTGTGCCGCTATAATGTTTTGCACCCAACTATCTCGCTGAAGCATAGTCTTGCAGCAAATACTGAGGACGTTGGTAATACCGTCATCTAATTCTTGCACTAAAGAGAAATAATAACCACCATTAGCTGTCAGCTTACGAGTTATTGTACCAATTTTGTTGTTATTATCAGCATCAACACCGATGCGGTAATCATTTAGTATGTGCGCACTTCGATATGAATATTGATTTCCCTAAATTAATTGTGAAAACAAGACAATAACAGTAATCCACAGCACTCACTAATTCCTATTAAAATATTGTTCATATAAATATATCGCTGTCTATTCCTTTATAATATCTAAAATAAAGTTAGTAGATTATACATGACCTGACGTAGTAATTATGGATATAAGTCTTTTGTATTATGTTCTAATATATAATCAGTTTAAAGACTACAGTTTAATTTAAAACTAAACTTACTCTGAGGCTTTTACAAATAATCATCACTTTATCAAAAACAAATACATAGCGCGTTTTAAGTCGATTGCCATCTTTACTTTGATCGGCAATTTTGATTTCACCATCTTTAACCAATCGACCGTAGTTAATTAAATGCATGCCTATGGGCTGAAATCAGTTTCCAACTATGTAGGATGATGCCGTCGCTTTTTCAAACTCTCTTATGTTAGACTTCACATCAAAATAGAGTACCAGCTCCAGATCGGTTATACTGGTTTCAATATCCATAACCAGTTGCTGCATCTCATAATCACGTTTCATTTCATTGACATAGGAATTGATATCCTGCATCGCTTCTTTGGCTTCTTCTAAAGGTAAGCGATCCGACGAATCCACTGAGGTAAGCTTTATCATCTCCTATAACAATCAAGAATACTTTCATGCTTTTTTAAATAAATTTCATACTAAAGATTATCCATTTAACTCTTTGAATATTTGGAGAGAAAAGAAACTACCGATAGAAGAACATGGTATTTTAAAACCCTCTGCATAGGTATACTGAGCAGGTCCTGCAAATGGAACTGATTGCGATTAGCAGCTATACCGCAATCCTGAAACAGTAAGCAATTAGCAGAGCCAAAATCAAAATTTTCAAGAAAATGGCCATAATTAACAAAGCAGAGCATTCAAACGTTAAAAAAAAAAAAAAAACACGAAAACAAATACAATAATCTTTTGTCGCACGATCGGATCCGTCTTTTCCAAGTAACAAATGCGTGAACGTGAATTTGGTAATTTCGAACAATATTCTCCATAAGCCACGAATTTCTCTTTCCACCTGAAATTCTACTTCATAGTTTAAAAATGTACGAATTTCTTTTGTTTATTTTCAAAATAAAATCATTTTATGTAGAAAAATTAGAATATTAATTACGTAATGAATACGTCCCCAATTGTTACTGGTTTTTCATCGTTCGAAGGCTCCTCCAACCCAACGGTATAGAAGACAGCTTGCCGTAAATGATCACGAAATGAGCGATGAATACATGCTAATTCCTGCAAAATCAATCAATTAATTCTTAAACGGAGGCAAAATCTTTGAGAACTATGTGAACAAATAACAAACCAAAATATTCATAAAGATCATTTTATGATCATCCTTCGATAGCACTTCCTCCAGTGGTGTGTAAAAATTATTTATGATCATATCAAGCGCTTTCTCGACATAGTTTGATTCCGTATCATATAATTCCTTGATGCAATGTTCACGTCGAGAATCTGGTTTGAAGTTTAACCACTTCTAAACAAATGATTTTGTCAACAACATCGACTATCGCCAGCCAAGACTGCTATAGGTTGCTAAATACTACGAGGTTTTATCTCAAATTTTAAAGCCCACGCTGTAGAACAACAAAACTGATAATTTTATATAGCAGAAAAGCAAAAACTACTACCAGAAAAAGTTGATCATAAACAATTAACTTATGAAGAGTAAGTACATGTCTATTAGTTAATTCTACATAGTTTCTTAACAAAAAGCATTTCATGTCTTCTTTCATATTATCTACATTATAAAAATAACTCATCAGACTAATGTAATCCAAATAAAGTGCGCCATCTTTAACAATTAAAAAAGAAATCCTTTCACTAACGACTAAACAATCACACATATTTTTGTATAAAACTTAATAGATCAAAGTAAACAAATCAAGTACTTCAGTACGATCACTGAAATACTTAGTTTGTAGCTCGACCACATTTTCAGTCATCCTTGAAGATTTCTGATATTGTCTCAGCAGCAAAGCTGAACAGTTACTGTTAAGAGAAACTAACGTCATATTCGATAGCTTTCAATTCGCGTTGACTGTTAGATCGTTGACACACAATAGAATCGTAAATTCGGCCACTGGTTTTCTCCTCCTCCGCGATACCCATATCATATGCATTTTCGAGTACAGGTTCATTTACCTCTGCTCCTTGGCGAAGATTTTTATAAATAACCTTGTCGTTATAATACTCCACCGAATTTAATGAAGATATACGTAATGGGAATCCCCTGAAACGTGCATAATGTATGCCTAATGTGATGTATGAAAGAAAAAAGTTCATGCCCAATCGAGTCTGTTATATCTTTCAATTTCATATTCATATATACTGAGAAGAATGTTAGAAATTTCAAACCAATGCAACTGTGTTATGGTAATATACGCTCTGAATGTCTAATGAAATCAAAGACAAGTGGTAAATTATTTCTAATTTCATCCAAAAAATACAAAAAACTGTTATTGGAAGTACGCATTACACAAAAAATTTTGCTCATTTTTCGTACTAATAAATAACTGAAAAGTGAACCTGATACCACTAAGCTTTGCTACAGGAGACGCGGATAATTTAGAAAGCGTTCTCAGCACTTTGCCAAAATCATCAAGGCGATAGAGATCCCATGGATCAAATAAATCTTCCGAGTTCATTTCAAATGTATTTTTACATGCTTTTAGAAATTCGCATATATTTTTGCAGCAAAGAAACTGAAATGCTAAAGTTGTGAATCTTCGAAAATACTTAAAAATAATATTTATTTCATAGGCACCAACAGTACTCCAGAAATTGTCAAAACTGATTTTGCTACCACAATTCATCTTACTAAAAAATCTTACGATTAAAAGTTTGAGAAAGACCAATACAGAGAAAGATGTAATGTGGTCAAACCGTACCATATTTGAATATTTAAGGCCTATACCTGAGCCATTTGTGGCCGTTGTTGTAAATCTTTGATGTCAATACAATTTTCGCATAGTCGATTACAAAGTAAACAAAGCAATACACCATCTCGTAAGATAGTCGCGAATTCACCGATTTCAGCATCTGCTTCCGCTACCCGATGTTTGGAATCCAGAATTCCACATTCAACCATCCACCGTACACATTCTCGCCACAGTTCTGTGATTTCCGCCATTCTCTGTAAAATATTTAATGCAATTGTGCTTGAAATTATTTGTTTTCTTCTCTTCCAAGAATGTTCTAGACAACAAATATTATGGATGAGGTACAGCTTATTAATTAGAGAAGAATGGGACATACTACAAATCACAGTCACACAACACTAGCAACAACAAATGATGAATAACATTTATAAAAAACAGGATCCTTCGAAAAGCAATAATATAAAGAAATACAAAAACTCTAAATAAAAAAACAGGAGTTAGAAAAATCAAACGAATAGCAAACTGATAAACAATCATTTTTCGTAAAGTAGGAATATATTAATTAGTAATCATATCACGTAAACAATACACGTTCCAGTTTAAAGCAATAATTCAACAATTAGATACTTCATATAACCTCTGTTCAAATCCTCCCACAAAAATACAGATCATATACACTTTGCAAGATTTTCTACCTCTTTTAACGTTGAAAACTCATAAAATTTTACGTTTCACTCAATAAAACAAGTGATAGCATCCAGGTAATGATAAAATATCAGTAATAAGCCACTATAATTTTTGATGTATTTACATTTGATCTATATAGTGATCATTACATGAGTGTCACATCAGCATTAGCTATTCAAAAATTTCCAATTTATTTGCTAAACAAGGATGAAGGAACTTTAAATAACTAAAGATATGATTAAAAAATATAAAACAATGATTGAACAAAATGTGCAACTGTCAAACGAAAAGCTACTATGCCAGCGCGGGCAAAAATCGTTTTTTAAATATTGTAAATTAGTGAAAAGTGTCCATATAGATAAGAGAAGACTCTTCGAGTAAAACAAACGGTACAATAAAGGAAAATATACATAGATATATACGTACAACAATACACGCAGGCAGTACACGCAAATGACGTGGCGATAGGTATTTTACGAGAAATCATTGAAATTAGTACAGTAGAAAGGGAATCGTTACGAAAACATTTCTTGTCACGATTATATTGCTGCTACTGCTATCGTCCTTCTGTCTTCTCGTGGCCAAAACGTACTGGCGTTCAAGGCTTCTTCCTCGGGATTTGTGTTTGTATTGGTGTTTGGTCATTTTTACCCATCAGTTAACCATTGCTTGCCATTAGACGCCTGCTTCTTGCCCATAAATTGCCCTACTTTCAATTTTCATCACCTCTTCTCGAAATTTTCTCTTTCTCTTTGTTGCCAAAAAAAGAGTGAAGAAAAGGAAAAGGAAAAAAGTGTGAAGGTTGGATCAAATCGTAAAAAATTTTCAAAATTTAAAACAAATGACGCAGAAAAATCAGCTTTGAGTTTATATGCTTGAAAGTAACAAATTATTGATTTGTTAACTGAGAACTTATTAAGTCGATTTCGTTGATTCCTTAAGCTTTTCTACAAATTGATAATATGATAAAATGACATGAATTCCCTATCTAGAAAAACTGAAAATTTTCGAAAATCTTTGACTAAATTAAGTTCTAATTGGATAAACAGTTGATTTTTTATAGCTTGTAACCTTCATGAAAGTTAAGGCTAATTTTTTCTATTATTAATAGGCATGACAACTCAGAAGTCGATCATAATTTTGTCTTCAAAAGCTTAGAATACCAAACTGTGGACAGAGATATTTCCAGTTTTAATCGAATTCACAATTTTCTAGAAATTTGCTGCTTTCATTCTCTCCCCTTCTCCCCCTTTCTTTCTCTAAAATCTTCCAAACAAAGCAGGACAATTTTCAGTCAAATGAGAATGTCTCAAACAGTTGATCATTTTGCAAACTTTTGTATTCCAGTGTCTTTCAAATCCATCTAATACAAACAAATGGAATATCTTGAATTTCTTAGCTAACTAATTTCTGTCAACAAAGTTTTTTTGGCGATAGCAGGAAAACAACCCAACACTCTGCAGATTTTCCTTTTTTTTTCATCATTCTGGTAACAGTTACAGAATAATTTCAAGAAGACAGTGGACTAAAACACAGAACAATGGCATATTCCATCTTTGTCTCACTTTTGCAGTCTCTTTATTAAACCATTTTATGGTTTTGAAATTCTCAGAAAAGAAAAAACGTAATATTAGCAGTGTCAAATACCACAACTGAAAGAGATAGGAGAGGATTTCATGATAACTCTGCCAGCTCATATTTCAAACATTAGAAACTCTATAGATGAGGTAATAAAACTTTAGGGAATGTTAATGTGAAATAGATATTATCGATCTGATTAGCGACTAATTTTATTGCATAATCAAGTAGCATTCTAGCATTGTACTGATTAAATCAATAATATGTTTAATCACTTATTGTTATATACGACTCTTATATGGTGGTTTTAGTGATAAATTACATTTAATCCATTCCACTCGCATCAGATAAATTTTTAATTTCCATTCTTACTCCAAACAAAAAAAGACAAAATAAATTTGAACTTTAGGTCATTTACGATATCCTGAAAATGGTAGGAGCAGTTATTGGGTTCTTCTTTGTATTCTATCGAGGAGTATGATGACGTGTTCTGCATCAGGAATACTTTAATACAAATATTAATACTAGTAGCATTTTTTCAGCAATCATCCATAATATGGTCTAGCGGTCATTGGTGTTTTTTTTTTTTTAAATAAGGAGGAAGTAATTGAGAAGAATGGAAATGTTTTCCAGATGGTAGTTGACATGATATAGTTTGGCAATAATTTAACCATTGATCATGGACAGATTTCAGAACAAAAGCTTATCATGATCACTTGGAAACTGAATTAATTTCATACCAAAAAAAAAAAAATAAAATAAATAAATAAAGGCATATTGGCTGTATTTAAATTTGGTTTAAATTAAATTTTATCTTAGGTAATCTTACCAACTGAAAGCAATACCTATTAAAACAACATTTACCCAAACTCTAACGATGATACATACCATAAATTAAACCTTTAAAAATGTGAAAAAAAAAAAAACATAGAAGCACCATTAGAATGCATAATACAAATAAGCTAACCTCAATCAACCTCAAATTTTAAATATTGAATACTACCAAAAGTATCTCCATCAATATAATAAAAAGTTAAAGAAAAAACAAAAACCAATAATGCTTTGAGATATCAACATAAAACTGAAAGAAAATAGCGATTGCTTTTTGCTGTAAATACAGTCAAGAAAAACATTTGTTTGCAATTTCTATTAGACTTTAATAATAGTTGTTGACAACAAGGATCACCTGCAACAAGGAGTGCAAAATCCTAACTGCTTAATGATGATATAATCTTTAGCCTAGAAATTTACTAAACTATTTGCATTGTATGCAGTTTGCTATTTATCTTCGTTATAAGTTGTGAAAAGGAGATATATGTTGGTTTGGGATTGAAGTATGACTATAGTGAATTTCAACATTTGTCACTTCTTTGTAGTCAAAAAATTCGAAATGAGCAAGCGTATGTTGAAAAGCTAGAAATTAGTATAAACTATTCATATTTGCATGTTCTGAAAAGATTTTAAGGATATAAAATGATAGGGAACTATGCAAAATTGTCCTTGAAACGTATATTTTTTAGTAATAGGAATTCATTCTATTAAATCATAGAAAAAAAGTAAAACAAAAAAATTATTTGAAACTTATAAAGAAACAAAATTTACACCAATTGACAAATACGAAATTGTGAGATAGAAATGATGAAGGCAAGTGATATGTTCCTGAAATATATCAGAGAATTCACAGCAATGGGAATTTCAATTATCTTTCATATCATTCAAATATAGAAAGATTATTCTAATCTTTTTATTATCATTTTCAAGATTACAAGCCTGATTAAATGTGGTAAAAGACTGTTCTTGGTAAAGTCTAAATTGATTTGTGATTATGTTTTTTTTCTTATGATTTAATTTTCCAATAACTAGCATAAATTCGTCCATTAATCTTCAATTTTAAATTTCACCTATGCATGAAATATATTGCTCAATTTCTTATATAAATTTTACTATGCTATGCAACTATGCAAACGTTTGATTAAAACTTGCGATTTGTAAAAGATTACATTTTGATTTGTTTTAGGGAGCATGAAATTACAAACAGAAATGTAACAAAAGAAAGAGAATTAGTCTGGAAAATTAAGCCTACCGAATTGCAATTTCTTTTTTTTGTTTCAATGAAATGTATTTTCCACTTTTTTATTTCTTTTTTCTTTTGCATTAACAATATTAGTAATTGCTATAAGCGAATACCAGTTAGAAAAATTTTTTCTAGTTTATAAAATGGGTGAAAGATTCAATAATAGTGAATAATAGTTAATGAAGAGAATGTAATCAGTAAATGATAGTTAATGAGGAGAATGTAATCAATTGATTGTTATTTTAATTATTCCCTTCTTCATTCACTATGCTTCTATTTTAAATATGAAAAATTCTTTGCTTTTTTTCTTTTCTTTTCTCTTTTTTTTACATTTTTTAATTTAATTATATAATAATTTTAAAATATAGAAAGTGAAAAAAAGTTTTCAGGGAAATAAGCAAAAGATATGGTAAATATGAGTTATCATATCTTTTGCTTATAATAATGAACTACTAAAAAAAAAATATTTTCATTTTGGGTTTATAAGTAATCAACCAATATGTGATTGGAATGAATTAAAAAATAAATATACAAAATAAACTTGGAATATGAAACTTTATTACAACAGTAAGTTTATTGTAATTGTGAAGATGAAAAGGATATTTGATAAAAGGATTTGATAGGTCATATTAATTTAAATGTTATTGAATTTAAAAATATTATTAGCTTCTTTTAAACTGCCATATTGGATATGGCACATACAACCATAAATTAGATCATTTTGAATTAACCTTACTGGATGAATACATTTACCCAGACTAATAATTCTTCTCAACTAATAATTATAATGCTATTAGAATAAGAAAATTATGTATTAACATCAAATAACTCTAATAATACTAAATTTTCAAACTGATAAGTTTGATGAAAGTTTATACATGTTTCTCTATAAGATTCTTTAGAAAAATATTCCTTAGACATTTAGAAAGAAGAATACTGAACGATTCATTAGTCAGTCAGTTAAGAATATTTTATTATTCAAAATATTTCTAAAATAAAAAGAAAGTGAAAAAGAAAAACCAGTAAAATTTCGATTATATTAAGAAGGAAAGTGGAAAAAAGAGTTGCCGGCAAATTTTTACCATTCAAAATATTTTACTTATATGAAATTAAATGAAATTATCAGTAATGCTGCTGCAACTAATTTTTGTTTCTGTTTTTTTTTCCTTATAAACCGATAATATTAAAAAAATGATCGCAAATCGTAATCTGAACTGTAAACGAATTGCTTTCTTTGCAAATATTTCTAATCAAATATTTGAGGTATAATAAATAAAATTCAAAAATTTTACTACTTTTTCCTTATTAATATTTTAATAATTACTTGAAAATGGATTATTTTAATTTGCCGTTTCATTTTATCATATTAATAATGGTTATATAAGCATAAAACTTTTATACTGTATTGTTTCACAGTCATAAATTATACTTATGATATTAGTTTCGGACTAGAGATGACATTTTTTAGCAGATAATAATTTTCAGGTTAGAAATATTTGTGAGTTAAAACTATCAGGAAGAAGAAGCATTCATTGATTTTACAATAACCTAACTGATAGAACCAATCGAATAAATCAGATGTATGAATTTTTGCTGAAATTGTTACATTTTACTAGATATATTTGCTCCGCCTATAGCTTAATATCAAAATTTTGTGAACTAAACGAAGTGATAGTTCAATAAGACGATGAAAATTATAGATAACTTGTTGTTAATATCAGAAATAACTAAAAGGAGAAAGAAAGAGAGTGAAAGAACAAATGGCATCCTTGAAAACTTTTCACTTTCCTTATCAATATTTGATTAAAATTAATTGCTCATTAATGAGCTGTCGACAATGTGAAACATTACATTTTACATCAATCATTAAAACTAAACTTCAGCAAATTCTTCTCAAATTCAACTTTATAACCATGTAAAAATATTAGGATAGTGGGTAATGTTAGTGATTAAATGATAATATTGATAAATGTAGAAGATGTGGGAGTGATTATCAATGCTAATTTCAAAAACCATTCTGCAAACAAATACTAATATGCATGAAGGTATTAATGAAAAAGATTGAATTTATTAAATGCAAAATCAATAGCCATATGTATACATAGTAGAGAATGATTATCATAATATAAGAATAAACAATAACAATGATTAAATAAACAAACAACAGTGCTCGCATCATTTTGTTTAAATTTTATGAAATAAATTTTAAAATCAATCCAATTTAGAATGATATGATATAGTAAGGTGAAAATAATGGAAAAAGGGAAATTTAAATCCTAATTAATAGATTTTTCTATCGTTTTCTTACCTATTTTAGGAATAAAAACAAAAAAAAACATTAATTATAATAAAAAAAATGAAAGATTTACATGGAGATAAAATGTATTATATTATCAATAATTTTACTGTGTAATTCTTATCACTGACTCTTTTTTTAATTATTATACATTTAACAGTCTTAATTCAACTGGCAAACAATCAAAAATTATTTCTAAACAACCATACCATTATTGAAATTAATGTATCAGTGTAATCGTTTATATTGTAAGAAATTAATTAATTTTCAGTTAACGAAAATTATCAAACTGATCAATTTCTGGGATAAAGAAGAAAACGATAATTTAATAACTAATTGGCATCACAAGTTATCAATTTATAAATATTTGCATATGTACGAAAATGAATGGCAGCTTATAAAGTTAGCAGTATATGCAATATCAATAAGCATGTTGGTTAAAAATTCATAAAAATATTCCTTTTTTCTCTGAATTAAAAGAAAAAAAAAACGAACAAATGGTAATGAAATAATCATTTAATTAAAAAATAAATAATAAAAACAATTAAAATTAAGCCAATAATTATGATACATCCAACACTACAATACAACTTTTTATTTACCATCGTTTGTCGACATTGTACAGTTACCTGTGCTTGCTGACTACCAGCTGTCACATAATTAAACGCATCATTCACATTTCTATCAATTCGATCCACCCTTTCACCCTATGATAATCAATCAACGTCATTTAATGACATATTAGTAACAATAATTATTATCACTATATATCATCGTTATCAAATCAAACTTTCTTTCTTTCTTAACCATAACTATTTTATTCTAGTCTAATACATGTAGAAATGATATGTTAAATGATCATTGAAATATGAGTACGTTTTACCTGTGCATGTATGAGAAAATTCATATCGTTGTATAAATCACTAAGTTCTTTGATATTTGTTTCTAAATTTAATATTTCATTATGCCTTAAGCTAGCATCATCAAAAGCTGATTTTAATTCTGATGAACGTATATGTCTGAAAATTATATTCATTAAAATTATTAAAATTAATTCATTCTTTACAATTTCCAAAAATTTGCTTTTTTCTTATCTTTTGTTGCAACTCTTATTATTATCATCAGTTTGATACTTATTGCATATTACTAATTATATGATAAATTTTGCTAACAATACTTTATATAAAATAACCTATTGAATATTTCCGATGATTTGGAATCAATCATTGTATTAATTTCATCCTCTGTCATGTACTCACCAGCAATATCTAACTGTCGTTTGATTCGTTCTTAATTGACATGGAATTATGATAATAAATTGCTGCAGTGATAATCAATTTAAATTGCTCACTAAGTCCATTTCACCTCTTTATATCCTTTTTTCTAATAATTAAATGATAAGGATCGTTTGAAAAAATGAATAGAAATTTAATCACACTCTATGTTACAATTTTCAAAGTGATTGAAATTTGTGTTTGAAAATTAATTTAATCACTAAATTTATCGTTAAAATCAGGATTGAATTTATAAGATTACCCTTTTTCCTTTCTTTTTTCATTTACTACTATCATTGTCATAGTTTATTCATAACTCTAAACTAATTAAACTCTTTTTTCTATGCTCTTTTTCATTTTTCTTCTCCGTCTTCATCTCAATAAATTTCAATGAAAATTATGCTATATTAATCATAATTTCAATAAAATAAGACTAACTTGCAACTTCCGCTCTGTAATCTAATTGAGCAGTATTAAATATTTCCAGTAAATTTGAAAGCTTTTTTAACAATGCTTCAATATGATATTGATGGATGCGTTTGCTAATTCCAATGATTTTTCCATTTTCTGTTTTTTTAACATTCTCTTTCATTGCTAACAAATGTTTTCGTAACAAACCTGAGCGATGCTTTATAGCAGCCATACATTCATCCAGCTTTTCCTTTAATTGCAATTTTATTTGAATTAAAAATTTAAGCAATAAAAATCATGATGAGAAAAGAATGATAATAAAGTAATAAGTTAGTATAAAAGTAACTGTTGAAATTTGTTCTCTTATATTTGAATACATTATTTAAACAAATACAATCATTTTATAATACTTATTTCTTCATTTTTTTGTTCCTTTCACTAATTAAATTCAAACTGCGTTATTATTATTATTATTATTATTATTATTATTATTATTATTATTATTATTATTATTATTATTATTATTATTATTATTATTATTATTATTATCATTATTATGTAGTGTGTAATATCAAAAATGTATTTTAGCCAAGAAATTGTTTCCTAATTTGGATCAGAAAGTATTTTTATAATATCTGGTATAGTTATTTGGCCTGGAAACTGCTTGATAACATATATCGAATAAAGCTGATTCCGAATGATAAAAGAAGACTAAATGGTTAATTGGAAGAAAACATTTCACGGAGAGATGAGAGTTGCTGAAGAAGTTCACTTCATATTATTTCACGACATCTGAAGTAAATCGGCGAGATGAAAAAGCTACTCAAATCGTTGTCTCAGAACGATCAATGAGAAAATTAGAGTTTGGAAGTATCGACTTGATCGATCGTGACATATTGACGAAAAACGATTTGTATACGTGACAATGGATGACAAGCATTTTAATGCTTAACAAAAATGAAGACCCTTTTGAAGCTGAGTTTACCAAAAAAAAAAAAAAAGAAAAAAAAATCATAATAGAGATCACCGGTTCAATCAGTTACAAATGTCATAGCTTTTTAACATTGAAACGATTAAATTTGAAAATATGATAAGCTATGCTTCTAACTTCTATTGGCCAACTCTTTACTAGAAACAACTCTTATCAAGCATATTGTTTCATACGTAGGAAAACGAATCCTTTTAAGGCTAAATAAATTGAACTGCTTTCGCTGATTAACTATTATTTCTTCAATCATTAAACTTATTTTGTAGAAAACAAGAATTTCTTGGCTAACTTTGTTTATGTTTACTGATAATAATCTATATCTTATCACTCCAACTTGTAATTACTTTCATAATAATGAATTGAACATTTGTTACCTTTTGGTTATCATCAACGATAGTTTGAGCTAAGGTTGAACGCAGCTGCAATTTCATGCTGGCAACATCGTCTGATAATTTGGCCATTACATTTCGAATTTCGTCAATTTCAGCAAAAAAGGAACTATCATGCGCAAAACTGACATTTGATTCAACATCAATCGAAATGAATGTGTTATCATCTGTTAAAAATTGCTCAGCTTTTTGCTGCAAAGAAAAAGAAATAATTTATCGAAAAATTTACAAATGTAAAACTACCAAACACTTAAAAGAAGAATTTGCTAAAATATCATTACCTAAAATAATTTCAGTTTGAAATTATGATAGATTAATTTTTTATTTCAATGAAATATTTTTGAATCACAAATTTTTAATTTTAATTGGATAAAAGAAATCTCATACAATCGAAAAACTTACATTAAAACTATGGAGGAATATTAAAGTAAAAGTGGTTTATTCAAATAAGGTTGATTAATAATGTCGAAAGTATCATCAGTTGTTTGATATTTCAAATTTGATTTACTTCGATTATATTATATTAATCAAAAATTCACAGAAATTGTGCTATACAAATTTGTGAAAAATCAGAATCGATATGGTAGTAGAATCTTTTATTTAAATTCTCAAAAAATCATTACTATTTCAGCTATTATTGTTGCTCATTTCAGTACGATTTCAATAACAAATAAACTATTTATAGTAATAAATCTAAGCATTTTTAATTAATCAATTATTTGTTGATTTATAAAATTTCCTTCTTGAGTTTCTAAAATTTTTAATGAATTAATTAACAAAATAAATCACTCAAAATATGATGCCTTTAAGTGAACAAGATATAAAAGAAGTTTGAAAATAATCAAAAAATAAGCGTAATTTCTTTCGAAATAAGGAAAAACGAAGGAATATAACGAATCTATTAATGATTTTAAACCAGTAAAGTTTAATTTTGTTTTTATTTGAATGAAAGATTGATAAAAATGAATTAAAAAAATAAATTAAACAATAAACATATTTCATTGAAATTGATGAATAACACTTATAATGAATAATAATCATGAAATCAAATCTATCATAAACTTACCCTAAATTCACTCGATCGATCTTTCATCGTTGTATGCGATAATACATTTCTTAGATGAATCAGTAATGAATAATCCAATGACTAATGATATCCTTTTGAAAATGCAATTTTAAAAAAAAACAAAAACAAAAACGATAAAAAATTTAAATTTTTTAATAGAAATAAATAAATAAATGAATGAATGAAATGCTAGTAAAACAAAAATGACTAACACAGAATAATTTAGCAATAGTTCGAATATTAGCTATGATTACTTGTCACGCAATGTTGCTATGCCATTTATGCTGAAATTGGTGACAGCATAGAGAGTTGAGAGAGAAGCGGGATGGGATGCGATAAATTTGCTTTTAAAATGAGAAATTGAGTTGATAGAAAGAATGACTCCACTGATTCATCGTCATCACTTATAAAATCAATAAATTTCACAACCAAATGCTGTACAATCATTTTGAAACGTTAATATTAGCAGGTAGTACACTCAGTACTCAATATTACCTATAATACATAAATTTATTCTGCATAGAAACTAAAAATTAACATTATATATATATGATATTACATTTTAATTGGACATTTAGAAATAATAAGTTATTATAACTTATTGTTATTATTATATTTATTTTTTCTTTGTTCAGATTATACTGAAAGTGCAGTATCTAAGAAATAGTAATTGCAAATTATTTTGTTGAGGAAAAAGAAAAAAATTATGTAAAGTAATCAAAATATAATATAATAGATTATTATTATGCTAAAGTGAAACCATTTGATATAAAAAAAAGCAAATAATAAAATAACATTTTTCATTTTATTTCATCTGAAAGTCTGTACATTTAATATATTTACATTTAGTAAATAAAGTTTAATAACTAAATATTACGGTAAACAATATTTGTCCTTCCGTTGTCATTCTCATTTCTCACTTCTTTATAAACTGATAGGTATTATTCGTGAAATGAAATAATATAATCGATTGAATAAGTTGAAAGCAACTTAAGTTAACAGCAAATATTCTAAAAGTTATAGAAAACCAATCATTCAGATATGGATGAGACATATATAATTTGAAGTGACACATTTGTCATCAAAATATGTTGTATCATTCGGCTACTCAAATGGATGATCAAAAAGATATGCCGATATGCTAGAAGAATGAACAGTCAGCAGAAAATGATTTCAAGTACCAAACAACAAATTTGAAATGAACAAAGATAACCTAAAGATTTCTGAATACTTCTGATTGCTTATTACTTATACTTTTCAATTCCGCATACTGAAATGTCAGATAACGACCGGTACAATTTGCTATGCATCGTTCCTTCTTCCTTTTTTTTTCTTTTTTTTTGAACTACTCATTACTTATCCAATTTAATAAAAGGAAATGAAATTCTTTCCTTTTTTTCTAACTTAATGTAACGTTATAAATAATTTTTTTGTCGTAGAATTTTGATATTAATTAAGAAAATTTATTTTGAAGTTAACACAGACTTTTGTACACTTTGAGCAAAAAAGGAAAGGAAAATAGTAGTGACAATTTTTAATAAAGTAGTTTTTGAATTTAATTAAAGCTTTTTCTATCAGTTTTTTTTTTTTAAATTAATTCAAATTTGTTATCAATAATTTGTGTTTGATTATATAAATCTAATAAATAATTGTGTGTAGAACAGAAGATTATTATTAATGAGATTTAAAGAAAAAAGAAGAGAAATTAAGTAATTAGTACTTAGTCAACAAATACATTTTATTATATCAACAGATACGGTAAAAAAGTTGTTATGAGAGATGATCTGATTTATGAAGTTGATAAGATAAGAAGGTAAACGATAGCTAAGCTACCTATAAATTTTTCCTGCTGCACAGTGATAATCCTAATCATTTTGATATGATATTTCTCTAGCTTAATATTTATTTATTTCCAAAAGTTTTTCAAGAGATGAATTAGCTTTATTCTGCCTGAATTAAATAGTATAGGAATGATGAAAGTACTGGCAGATCAAATATTATGTAATATGTGGAAATTAATTTCAACTTCTGGATTGATTTTTTTTCAATGTTAACTCTTTGAGAATTATTGTTTAATATTATAAGAAAGAAAAATTTTGAGCCTAAAGGAATAATTAACTAAATTCACTTTACAAAAAAATTAGAGCACTTTTTTTGTTTTGAAAAGTGTTGTATGGTTTTCTGAAAATATTATCTAATTAATGAGTTCAATGTTGTACATTTTGGGATAATCACATTCTTATTTATTATTTAAGATTTTTTTTTCCTGTTCGTTGAATTAATTTTCAGATGTCATTACATACACCAACAAAACTTGGCGATCAAACAGCCGATTATTGGGACACTGTAGGTCATTATCATGATGATAATGGCTAGTTTCTTTAATTACATTGATAATATAATGCAGCGAATTAATTACTGTAACGAGATAACTTACCTAGTATGAGTAATAAAAGTGTTTGAAAATTTGAAAAAAAACTTGCTTGCTTTTCATTTTATGATTTAAATATGAAGCTTTTCGAAATCTTAGAATGTAGAAAAAAAATGATAGAACACAAAAAAACATGAAAAACATCAATTTTTGATGATTAAACTTATTTCATTCAGCTATTATTGTTTAATTATTTCTTCAAGTTTTGTTTATTACATACGCATTTGACCAAATTTTAGATTTAGGCTAAGATTCTTGCACCTAAATTCAGGAATCTTCCATAAAGCATATAATAGGTTGCTGAAATCATACTTTAAGAATGCTCAAATTCACTTGTCAAATTGAACCAACTGAAAAACAAAATTTCCTTTATTTTTAAGTTTGTATTATTTAATAAATACACAAAAGCAAAAAAAAGGGCTTTAAAACAAAAGAAACTTTTTTTCAGTAATTTTCAATTGTTTATTGAATTTTTTTTATTTTAATTACAAATTTTTTTTAGATTGTTACACAAACGTATTTGCAAATGGAATTATTGCTGAAGAAAAGCATATGCATATGAGTTATTGTGAAACTACCAATAATAATCATCCCTCAAGATATCATCATAATTCTCCCACAAGTATTCAAAAAAATCCCTTTACTTAAATATCTAAATAATTAATTAAATAGATGAAAGCAATCTTTTATGGCAATTCCAATCAATTAAAATGTCTTTATAACATTAATCAGTTATAAAAAGTGTTGAAGTAATTATAATGAAGTATTTTACAATACAAATACCTAACAGTACTTATGAACTACTGTAAAATTTTTCATTACAACTATTCTATGTAAATTTTTTGAACATTTTAAAGCAGTTCTTCATAAATACTTTTGAATTTGTTTGCTTTATTACTAAATATTTGCTGAAATAATATGGTAAATTTATTATATTTAATTAAACAAGAATGAAATCTCATTTAAAATAAATCAAAAAATATTAAATTTAAGCTAACAATTTTTTTTTCTGAAATGATTTCGTTCATTTAAACTTAAATTAATTGTTGCTAATTTTAGATGAAATTAGACCTGAAACTTCTAACAGATTGATACCAACGATACGTGTTTTACATCAGATGGAACCAACTTCTTTACACACTCACTCCCATCCTGAATTCATCCGCCGCCCTTCCACTCGAATACCAGTGGTACAATATTTTGATGAGTCATCACAAATTCATTATCATCATTATCATCATCATCATCATCATCATCCACTATCATACTATCAACGGCATGTTTGATAATAATTTTAATTTGTAATGTGCATAGCTTACTAAAATAAATCTAAATATTTCTGCTAGTTGTACCACCATTTCTGTTTTTCTCATATTATTTATTCAAAGTAGTAGAAGAATTTCCTGTTTACTCTTTCATTTTTAGTTCAATGGAATGTATTTGTCAAGGTGTTTTATGCCAACAATGGATGCCTTCAAAAAATCAAACATATCCAGAGCAGGTCCCATATCATTGTTAATTTATTTATCCTTTAAGAAATTCAATTTCAAAAGTTTCCTGAAAATTGTAATCAATTTTACACGATAGCACTTCTACTGAAATTAATCTAAATCTTTAACACATCCCAGTGAATGATTTTCTCAGTGAAGTAATATGATAGCAAATATATTTCATCAATAATTAGCTATTTAGATGAAAAACTTAATTAAGGAAAATTTGCATTAATGAGAAGAGAATTTCAGGTGACATGCATACCGCACGAACAGCAACAACAACAACAAGATGTTGAGACTGTAAACAGAAATGCTTCATCAGTAGTATCACCGGAATTACTTGGAGGATTATTTGTAACTAACAATAATTCTCAATTAAATATTGCTATTAATTTCAAAAAAAAGGTTAGTGAAAACATATTGTTAAGAAAATTATTTCACTAATTCTACTGAGTATTAGAAGAGTTCACTGTTTATAAATACCATAAAGGATTGGATTATTAATAATAATTGTATATGATAATGTATACTTGACCTTTGAAATTATCAAATTATAATATTTAAATGTTTGCATAGTTATTTGTTAAATGTTGCATATAATTTGAAATGTTCTACGATATTTTAAATAAATAATATTATTATAGCCAGTTAGTACTCATATTAATTCGGTATGCTCAAATTGTGGTACCAAGGAGACGACATTATGGCGTCGTAGCAATATGGGAGCTGTAGAGTGCAAGTTTGTTTATTTGTCTAATTTATTTTACTGATATAGTATGAGATCAGTAGCCTTATCCCTGTTGACCTTTCAACTTACAATGCTTCAGTAGCTATGTGATACCAATCTTTCGTTTTATATAAGTAATTCATCAGGAATAGTAGAAAATAATAATAATAATAGTGATAGTGTTAATGATAATGATAATGAAAATAATAATAATAAATATAAAAATTACTTAAAAATCTTTTCAGTGCATGTAATTTATATTATCGCAAAAACAATCGACCACGGCCAATAACAATGTCAAATAAAATACGAAAACGAATTCGCTTGCCGCGTTATCATTTCCCATGAAAATTTCGCTTGCAAATACATAATGTTGTCAAATAGATTATTGATTCGATAGCATATTATTCAACAAATTTTATCAGCAATGTAAATATTAATTTATCTAATTGCTTAGTAATAATTTCCTTTAATTACATGATGACTTGAAAGTGAGGGAGTTGTTTCCGCTCAGATGTGATGAATCAGTAACCTATTTAGAGTTTTATATAAGCTTAATACGTTTCGCAAAAATGTTATTCATCCAATTAATTTATCACAACATAACGTAACGTGTCTTATCATTAAGATTTAGGTGACGCATTGTTGTAGAAATAGTTATACGTGTGTGAACGTGTACGTATGATCATTTTATTTCCTTACATTGCACATCACTTCATTACTTCTTGTTTTACTTATTTTTTTCTGCAGAATATATTTGAAGCAAATATGAAATTTAATAAAAAAATGTATGCAAAATTATCAGCATATAAATTGCAACTTGGGCAATTAATAATTAAATTCTTTCCATCTTTATGTTTATTTAACCGAATATTAGAAAGTTTGTACAATAGTAAAATTATTGGTTGGTCCGAATTGTCTAGTTTCAGTTCATCGTTCCGATTCTTTTCAATATTGAAGAAATGAATATATGCTTTCCTGTTCTTCTATTTTCTTAATCTTTTATTTCCAATAAATAATTCATTTTTCCCTTCAAAATTAGTTAGTATTATTTTACATAATTTTACGGTTAATCCAAGCTTAACTTTTTAATCTTAACTTTATTCTGTGTCCATTTTCATACTAACCAATTCTAATTGCATTAGTCAGTTATCGGTGAAAATATAGGCTGACAGATGTAAGCTTCTGAAATAATCTGTTCTCATTTCATTTCAAACTCTCAAATCATGCTTCAATGAACTTTGATATTTCTTTGTTGTCCTTTCAAGCTGTTCAAGCTTACGATATGGTAATAGTGGTGATGAAAATGAAGTTATTCAATATTATGCACACAACATATGAGCTATGAAAGGATTTCGTTTCAAACAAGCAGTATTATTTTAAAAGTAATCAGTTAATTAATTAATTAATTAATTGATTCACTTACTGAACAGGTTGAAATATATTGATCATATGTTTGTCACACATATGAAAGTCATACACTGTTGTGTGCTTACAGTAGTCTTTGCTGCAATATTTATCTAAAAAATAAATATTATTGTCATGACTACAGTACACCTACTCAATATTTTTATCCGGAGTGATTCATAAATTAAGAAATTTTTAAACTAGTAAATACAAAATTAATAAAATCACACGTATATTTTTACGATACGCAGTAAAAAATACCATATTCGTCATCAGTGGATTCATTTTATCATCCAAAAAGTTAAGAAACAAAAATTAATTTTATATTCACATTGAAAAATGGCGCATATGATCATGTTTAGAATTTCTTCCTAAATTAATTCTCAGAAGAGTCCGATTTTATAGAGCTAGGCCTATTACCTCTTTTTTAGTGAAGATATAAGAAAAGCTGTGAAAAATTAAGCTAGAATTAAATAAAGTAGTAATTTTCAAAAAATTTTATTCAAAACTCTACTTTTGAAAAACAAAAATTTTGAAATTTCGAGTTGAAAAATTGAGAAATAATTCCAGAGAATTTTTATAACATTTATTAGTGTAATAAATTAAAAGTGTGTAATACATGACTAACTGAATTTTTTTAAAATTATACAAAAAAAAAAAAAAAAAATAACAAATTTGCATAAATATTTACAATTAATATTGGTGAAAAATTAAATAAGATTCTTTCACAAATTCTGAATATTTGCTGCCGGTTGCATTTGAAGTGCTTTTTTTTGATAGTTTTATTTGAAATTGAAAAATTAACATTAATAAAATTTTTTTTTTATAGATTCTAGAAGATTGCTTTTTTTCCTACAGATTCTTATGAGCTGCGAAAATGTAATTAACAACGAAATTGTTCAAAAATGTTTTTTAATTTATCCATTATCAGAAATAATTTCAAATCTATTTGTTATCAAAAACCTTCTGCTGAAATATTTCCCTTTTTTTAGATATGAGTTTAATTGAAGAAATGAAGACATTAGATGATACTAAACTTATTAGTATGCAAGGATCAGATAACCAAATACTCTCACAACAATTATTAAATGAGAAGAAAAAACTTTTGCACAGTAATTTGTTACAATTAGCTAATGGAAATTCAATGTTACGTGCTTCTCTTATATTGCTTACTCTTGTAATGATCTTTTTTACGATTGTGAAAACATGCAAATTATTCTATCAAATACGATATCAATATCAGCAAAAACGAGAGGTGACATTAATTGTTATGACATTTATTTTTTCTGCTTAATTTAAGATATAGGCTATTTAGCGTGGTACATACTGTTAAAGTGTAAGCAGAAAGATTATTAATGATGGATTTATCATATTTATGTTCTAATTTATATGACTTAATTATTCATCTTAATAATGCTAATATGTAATTTGTTTATTCAGGTGAAACTTTTAAATAGATACTTATGAATTCATTCATGCAAATTCATTTCTCCGTTTCACACAGATTATATGTTTTTCTTTGCAGTTCAGAAAAAGATCTGACATGGTATATTATTGCAGATAAACGAATCTGATAGCGAAATTCCCGAAATACTGATTAAAACACATTCAACAGATGATCCATATTTTGTTAATAAAAAAAGCAATAAAACGAAGCATAAATTAAATCGAACATCCCACATTTGGTAAATATGGGCCGTTTTGCAAAAGTCATTTATTTAATGTAAAGTTGATTAGATTTGATAAATGAACAGACCGCCAAATTATCTAATTGTATTAATCTTATTCACTTGTTAAGAATTATTTGTTTCCTTAGTGAATGATTAGATTGTTTGTTACGATATATCATAAAAATATTTGCAAACTTCTTTGACAGGAATGCAAAATCGAACTTCGATTCAAATCCACTACCTAATAAAAAAATTAAATTCAATTTATCGCTATCGAATAAATCAGACTCAAAGTGTGATAAAGCAAAAAAGGCAACCTTGTTTTCTTACATTTCTTATTCTTCATTGATAACTTTACTCATTTTCTAAGTGGATTTACAATGGATAATTTCATAACAAAATTAAATGGCAAGAGAAATGAGAAACATTAATTTCAGATATATCCAGTACCGGAATCAAATTTGAAATCATCATTGAAAAGTACCGAAACGAAAAATTCAGGTTAATCGGTTAATCTTACCTGATATTTAACCCTACAATAACAGATACTTTATTTATTAGGATAAATTAATTCTTCGTTATATATGCTGCATGGTATAGCAATTTGACTCATATCTTTTGCACTTAAACTATTTCGTAAATATACAAATGAAATTTTGCAGATACCAACAAAACAATGACAACCCATTCCGAAAAGAATAAATAGCATACAAACTGGGATGATTCACCCCGATTTTAGCAATAATGATAAAACAATTCGTGCATTTGTTACTTATCATAGTATTCCATTATTTTGTTATTGCTTCAGGAACAAATTTGAAATTTAATTGTGATATTAAGTGTTTCTACTATGAACTATGGTTGAAACATTTTGTCATGCTCGAGATAAATATATCAATCTAAAGATCGTTACTGCGTTGACCTTTATCTTACTAAGTAAAACTTCAGTGAAGTTTAGATAAAATAATTTAGTTCTTTCTCATCTTCAGCTAATGCTCTTTCTTCAAAAGCTCCTTCATTTGTTCATTTGTTGACGGCACGTTCAAGTGTACTTTGCTTAAGAAGCTTAAGAAGCAATGTCTTCTCAGAAAGCTACACAAAAAATATAAATTGTGACAATGCCATGACAATAACAAACTTATTTTATACTGTTGTCCTCATGTGATTACTCATCGTAGTCTTACGGGCATATTTAAATAAAAGTGACTATTTTGTTGAGCATATCCATTTATACAGTTATCCTTGTTCAAAAATGAGTTATGGGATCGAGAGAAATTTATGGAGCGAAAGTCTGCAAAGGAAAATGAACAAAAGGAACATTTGAAAAAAAAAAAACAAACGTTTGCTACAAACGGTATCGAGGATACATCAAGAATCAAAACGGGTTTTCTACCTAGTTTTATGGGATGAAAATAAAAAATATTGGATGGAAATAAATATTTGGAATGCTGTACTTTTTGTGAATTTATCTGATAGACGATCAGGAAACAAGTCAAATAAAATCAATGTCAGTAAATGTTAGTACGGTGTCAGGTAAGAAATGAAGACTGGTAGCATGATGTGCCATCTCTTTCAGGTATAACTGTCTTAAATCCATTGTGAGATCTGTGAGATCAGATAGGCGAATCGAAATAATTTTGAGAATTTGCTTTAATTTTGTTGACCATTCAGCAAACACATAATTATTGATAAAATATCTGCACTACCGACACCAATAAAAGTCTGACATCAAAGGAAACATATGGAGTGGCGTTCTATTGTGGTTAAAGGTGAGTAATAATTTAATTAGGGATAGATGTGAAGAAAAATTAAATCATGATATTTTAAATTATTATAGTAATATGTTTATTAAATCTTATATACGATTCAGTACTTTATTATCATTTACAATCAAATGAAATCAAGTGAAAATTTGACTTATTGAATAGAAAATGATAAACAATAATTACTTTTGTATATTTTCCCGCATTTTTTTGTATCTAAAATATTTCATAATTTGTTTTTTTAAATTGGTTATTAATAATGTATTGATAAGAATTTGATGTAGTAGAAAACATAAATAATGTTAATTATATGTGCAAAAGAATTGCTTCTAAATTAAATGAAAGAAAAAAGTAGAAAAAGACTATAGATTAAATGTGCAAATTTTGACAACAATTGATTGTACTATACATACATGTTCATAAGTTATTAACAGTAGAATTTCACTTTTTATGTGCTACAAAATGTCATTCACTCATTATTTTAAAATTGATTTCAGAAAAATTTTTG